TGTAGGTGCAAAGAAGAACGAATCTTGAAGAGATATTTTTTTTAAGTATATCATTGGATCAATTTTCACAGTAATATTCTCAGATAGTTTTGCTGCCACTGAACAATAGAAAGAGTTCAATTCATCTGAGCTCAAGTTTGTTTTCGGTAGGTTTGTTTTAGGTTTTCCTCTAAGTTCATTGATAATGGCCCATGTTTCCCTTTGATTATTTGCAGATTGAGCTATTCTGCTTGAATAGTATGTGTTTTTTGCTTTTTTAATAACTGTCCTGTAAATGCTTCTGTATTTGTTAAAGTAGTTAGTGAAATATACGTAAATCTATGTTCATCATTAATCTTATGTCATCTTCGTTCCCTTTATTTATAGACACTGTATCACGTTGCTGCATCCTATTTCGCCTATCAACTATTTTTCCTATATTTTCAATAAATAGTTTGAAGTTCGCATCATCTGAAATCGCGTTTACTTCATATCTCCTACTTACAGGGTTCATTAATGGATTCGCCTCTCTAGATACAGTACCACGTTGCTTCATCCTATTTCGCCTATCAACTATTTTTCCTATATTTTCAATAAATAATTTGAAGTTTTCCTCATCTGAAATCGCGTTTACTCCATATCTACCAATTACAGGGTTCATTATTGGATTCGCCTCCAGGACTTGCGGTATTCGATCATTTAGAATATTGTTAACCTCATATTTTTTATGGCTTGAGCAATGTTCATGTTTTATCCTTTCGTACATATTATTGTTATGACATCTATTAGATAATGACGGCCGTTGCATACGTTCATTGTGATTTTCGTTATGAATATATTGCTATTCTCGACCAAAACGTTGTCCTTTGTGGAAATTGGGATAAGTACTGGAACAGTTGATACGTTCCGAAAAATTTCCAATTTTCATTTCTACTGTTCCATGTTCTAGGTCAATTCTAGCTTTATGTTGAATCAAAAATGACATCCCCAATATTTTTTCAATAACAAGAGCATTGCAACATGTTTTCATATTTCCCAAGATCAGATTTATTTCTACATTTCCCAATACTGGAACCCTAACGCCCCCAGCTGTCTGCAAGTTTTGAAAATATTCTGACGGAATATACGTAGTAACAATTTGACGTGAAATGATATTTTGATTTGATCCCGTATCGCAAATGATAGTTGCCCAATTATTATTGATGTACCCATTGATTTCTAAGATGTTTTCTGTGTTATTTGATGAGTTTCTAGAATCGTATTTTTCAAAACTATCATTAGGGTTTGTATATAAATTGCAATGAAAATTCAATGACTTTCCATATTCGTTGAAAGATAAATTATTCGCATTGTAACTATAGCGATCCTGTTTCCGATTTTTGTTCTGTTGTTGTTCTTGTACTAATAAATTGTGATTTTCGATATCTTCTATAGTGAAAACTATTTTCTTCAACTTTTTCATAGTCATAGGTGGGTTTTTCATTAATATATAAATCGCACGATGTTTTTCTAATAATCCACTCTCAAAATAAATCAAAAAACGATCTATACTTATATTGGGGTCATATTCGTGAGCCAAAATAATCATTTCGAAATAATATGCTTTTATACTTTCGCCTGCACCCTGTATTCTTTTCCTTAGTTTTTGTTCCCTGAATTTCCATGCGTCGTCTGTTTCGAATGCCTTGAGGAAATCATTTTTTATGAGTAACCAAGTTTTCTCTGAATTCAATCCATTATTTCGATACGAATCGTACCACAAATATGCAGCTCCTATTAAAAATGATGCAAAATATCGAATTTTCAAACTGTCTGTCCACGCATTTCTCTCCGAACATTTTTCGTATTGTTGAATAAATTCGAAAGGCTCATCTTTTATAGGGTCAAAATATCCTGGATCCTCAAATTTAGGAAGAGATGGGGTTATTTTTTGCTTCATTGCGTCTTGCAGTGTAACTTTCATCTTCTGATTATTTATGGGGGACTGTTTCAAGTTAGAATGAAGTGAGAAGGCAAGTCCTATTGCGTACAAACCACGTTTTCAACAATGTGTATCAATAGAAGGAAGAAAATCATTCACTATTGGAACCTACGAGGAATGTATTGTAATATAAAAACGTCTGCAATCAAAGTACTTATATATGAAGATAATATCTCATAATTTCCTATTAAGTACGTCAATGAAGTATTCAATTTTACACTTTGAATCAACTCGTACTTTTATCGCAGTTTTGAAAGAAGAGATTCATTCATTACGATACGTACAAAATGTGTACCGTCAGCAACTGTATATAGGACAACAACCTACCTAGTCGTACCGAGAAATTAGAGAACATATGGTACCTATCACACAATAAAATGTAGGTCACGTCTGACCTCGTCAACAAATATTATATCTATAATAATTATTCAACTTCTGATATAAATATTGCCATTCGGCGTCTCCACCACTTGTCGTGAATAGGGGTGATTCACGACTGACTAGGTAGGGCAGAGAAAGTACGAACAGAAATTTAACAACAAATCAATAACATTTTATTCAACTATTCAGAATGAATCCCTTCTCACTGACGTTACATACTGAGAATAAAAAGAAGCATATGTGACTTACTTGCTATTCATTTCTAATTACGCTCCCATTGCGACCCCCAAACATACTTGGGCACTCTCACTACCCGACTGCCCGCCTAGCAACGCCCTAGTCTGCCAACAACCCATTGTTATGTTTTCCTAACATTGTTTATTCAAATAAAAGCAAGAATTTGCTAACATAAAAGTTCTACTGGGTGTGACAGAAATCTGATTCACGACAATATTGCGAAACTTATCAACTGCTGTAAAAATTCTTTCTCTCAGCTCTTCCACTGTATTGATAGCTATCGAATAAACTTCATTTTTCATGAATACCCAGAAACGAAAGTCCAATGGCGTCAAATCTGGAGATCGTGGAGGCCAATGCACTGGTGCATTCCCACCTCTTCCAATCCACCGGTCGGCAAATCTATCGCATAATATTCATTTCCTGTCAAGCGGTTCAGTTAAAAAATTGGCCCAATTAGATTGTCATCTAAAATCCCTGCCCAAACATTCACTCTGAAACTCCTTTGGTGGTAAGTTGGCATGATGGCTCTTGGATTCTCATCTGCCCACTGCATTATGCAAGTTCATTATTCCGTTCCTCGTGAACGTCGCCTCATCGGTGAACATAATTTTTCGTTTAAAAGAAACATCTTCATTGTGTTGCAACAGAAACCAACGACAATAATCTAATCTCAGTTGAAAATCACCTGGAAGAAGCTCTTGCACTTTCCTTATGCTGAATGGATGGAGTAATTGTTCCTTAAGGATTCTCCAGATTGAAGCTTTTGACAATCCTGTCTCACGAGCAAATTGTCTACAACTTATTTCTGGGCGGTGATCAATGATTTCCAGTATTTGGTCTTTTTGCTCTACAGTTCGCACAAATCCCTGCCTCCCAGATCTTCATCTCCTCACCACCAAAGTCCCAGTCTCTCTCATCCTCCGATCAATGGCAATGAAGGTCCTGAAATTAGGTGTTCGTCTTTGTGGATATCTCCCAGCATACATTCGAACAGCGTTTGCTGAATTCCCATCGCACTTCCCCAGAATGAGATGCAAGTCTGCCATTTCGTTGTTAGAATAATGTTGGTGGTCTTGATCAGCCATTATTAGTTGATATTTTTTCACAGTTCACACTGAGAATTGAACAATCAACTATAATGATTAGGCTGACAGTGACATATGGGATGAAAATAATGATAATAATGAAACTAGCCAATTGATATTCTTCGTTTCGTACATTTTTTGTACGAGGGTTTCTTACTAAGCAATGATTGAGCAGAAAAAGTAGTTGATATGATATATCTGTGCCCCCGAACTCTCAACAGAACGAAAAAAACCTGCAAACGACTTTGATTGTTAACAGGAGGTGCAAACTAAAATCGACCGATCTGAGCATTTTTTCGTATCTACGCTATTATCACCCAAAATCTCCCTGTCAAGTTGAAAATGGGCCATCATGTATGATGATGAGGATATTAGATAATTTACATGAATACGTGAACAAAATATCAACATGAAGGAAGAAGAAACCTGCAGAACACAATAACTCTGATATCTTGGACTATGGATGATATGGAGGGACTCCGAGAGAATTTTTTCAGATATCTCGTAAACCAAGCAGAATTTAGAAAGAAATGTAGTGAGAAAAAAGATGGATAATTGATTTTGTTATTCAAGTAGATATTAAAATATGGTCAGTGGCGTACTCAAAAAAAGTTCTATGGATTTTATCCAATCAAAATGCTAAATTTGTATCTCCTTGTATATCGATTGCACTGATGAGACCTGTTATCTATGCACACTTCTTATAGTTGACTGCCTTCCAAATTTCAGATCATTACCTCTCAAGGATTTTGAAATATTCAAGAAACTCTGAAAAAAAAAATCCATCCATCGCCCCCCTCATGGCCCAACGGTGCATTTTCGTATAGTGGTAAGTTGGTCCCAATCGACCTATTTTGAACTCTAGTTCACCCTGTTGAATTTAATGTACGTTGTTCTGGGACACCCTGTATATCCGGGAAAATAGAACTCACTTTTTTCTCGTGGGAACAAAGTAATTTATGATTTATTTTTAGTTGGTGCTCTTTATACTATGTATAGTTTGTGCTAGATTAGACTACTTGCTATAAGAATGAAATTTCTTAAGGAGCAATGAAGAATTATTATTATATTATTATTATAATTTATGAAAAGTGACATGTGACAACCTGTCAACAGAGATGAAATATCGAACTTTTTTCCCGTCACAGAAAAAAAGACATATTGTTATCAAAAAATGTTATGCCATGGGAATATTCCCTAGACTGTATCATATTGGTGTGCAAAATATATGTACTTATTTCAAAAACGCCTAGTACAGAAATCTTATCCTGATAAGAAAAAAGTGCTTGGTTGGAAATGATGCAATGTAATTTCATGTTTCCTTTATTTTGTAGAATGAGTGAGGAAGGCGAAGAGAAAAGAAAGAAAATGTCTGTTGGCATATTCTGCAGCTGTCCCACTAACATCAAAGGAGCCATCGAATCGATGCTAGAATATGGATATCATTTCATTGTCACACAGCTTGCACACCCAAACTATACCAGAGAGGTTCAAAGTAAAGTTCCCAGAGCTATTGGTAATAATGAACTCATCTATTTTCATACCATGATTATTTTCTAGTGTTTGAATTCACCATGCTAGCCAATTTTTAACGTAATTTTTTTTGTAGTAATTCCTGAGATTGAATAGTATATAAACAGGCTATGAAAGGTTGTGTGGAGAAAGTTTCGAAATTTTAATATTCTCTCTCAAATTGTATATTGCATGTCAATTCTCGTAAAACAATTGTATGTGTTTGAATTGACTCTGCCGTTACTTGAAGAAAATTCATAGTTAACGTATATTTTGAACCCCCTGTCAACTATTTTATTTATCATCGAATTTTTTTTTTCCAAAGCAGTATTTTATAATGTTTCCTGTAGATTTTGAATATGTTAACAGAAAAACAATTGAGCATCTCAGCAAAAAGTTATGTGCAAGATGAACACCATGTATTTCATTGCATTTTTAGATTCTCCCTGAAGTGCTGATTTCATCGAACTATCACAGTTGGGATCTAGCTGAAATGATTACAGAGATATTATAGGGTGTGAAAAATTTTTGTTTTTTGTTTCGAAACTATTCATCATTGGCCAAAACGGTTTTCATGTCTCTATCTTAACTTTTGATTTACTATCTACTGACATTTAATTGGAACACATACAGGGTGATCAGAATTCTGAATTTTGAACCACCCTGTATTCGTTTCGATTAAATGTTAGTAGATTATCAATCAAAAGTTAAGATAGAGACATGAAAACCGTTTTTGTCAATAATGAATAGTTTCGAAACAAAAAATTCCTAAAGTTGTAAAAAATCTCGATTTTGTGATAGATCGATTAAATCAGCTCTTCAAGGAGAATCTAAAAATGCAATAAAATACAGGGTTCCATTTGGAAATTTATTCATCTTGTTCATAACTATTTTTTGAGATGTTCAATTGTTTTTTTGTTAACATATTCGAAATCTACAGAAAACATTATAGATTACTGTTCGTTGGAACAAAAAAATCGAGGATGAATAAAATAGTCGAGGGAGGGGTTCAAAATATACGTGAAGCCCCTGTACATACCCACGTGACAAGAATTGTGAGTTGCTAATAGAACAAATTGAGGGACGTTGGGGAGTTTTATCAAAAATAATCTTATCTTATCTTTTTCACATGTCAAAATGTGACGTTGCGTTGTTTCAACCAATAGCAATGCGTAATTCTAGTCGATCATTCGGTATTATGCTGATAAGTTTGCATGATCCTTGATAAAACCTGTAGCAGATCAAATGGAGTGCCCTCATCGTGCGGGAAGTTTAAGTACAGCGTCTCGCATTCCTAGCCATGGTAGGATCCTGTGCCGCGTGGGTTGTTGAAATATTACGGGTTCGATGATGCGTCGTAGGATGTCGCTACCTAACCCCCTCGGTATCACCGGTTTTTGTGACTCCAGTAAAAGTAAAAAGTGGAAATTTGTTATCTTCCTCATTTGGTATCTTCGAAAAAGATAAGAGGCAGAGCGTTGGGCATGTAACCCAGAGGTTGTGAGTTCGACTCTTAGACGGGGCGGTGGACGTTTTTCATTTTCTGTTGTCACTCGAAATTAGGGATTTACATCTTTATCATTATATATATATATATATATATATCTTTTTGGTGGAGTAACCGACAAAAATTACGACTCATTCCTATAAACTTGACCGGTATTGGCAGTTTGCGAAAAATGATTGAACTATGAACGTGCGATAGCCACTGACAACTACTATCTAGCCTGCTATATGTCATATTCTAGCAACCCGAAAATATCGGGTAAATTGCTCGCCTGAAAATGCTTCTGCTCAATGCGCAGAAACCCTCAAACTGTCCTTCATTATATCGAGTCATGTTTCTCGGCTTTAGGAAACATGAGTAATAAGAGTGGATGAAATATATGACCAGTCCGAAATGCGCATGATTAATGTTTTCCAGGTCGATCTCGCAAGTGCATAGCTTCTTTCTTATGGCATTAGCGGCCAGGATTGTAGTCATGTCAGTAGAGATAGCGGGCAAAGTTGTCTCTAAAAGATAACGTTGTAGTGCTCCACGCCACGTAGAGCCCTTTTGATTCTTCAGGTAGAACAGACAGAGCGCTGAAAAGCTCCGAATGGAGCCGACTGCTCGTGGGCCAGCTGTCCCCCTACATTGCCGCCGACAACGAAGTCGACCACATCAGAAAATGGAGCACGAACCTGCTGAACCAAGAGCTCGGTTTCGCCTCACACCTGGGCGTGCTGGTCGTGTGGATAAAGTTGACTACGAGTGCCTCGAACATATCATTTCACGCCCTCTGACAGTGTGGACACGCTTGTCACCACTGACAAGTCCGAATTGTCATCATTCTCAGATTTGCAACGTCAGTTCTATAAATTGAATGGGCGTCCGCGCGAAAATCCTTTCATATATATCTTGTTCGGTAATGAAATGCAAAAATTCTAATTGAGTTGCCGAAAGACGAGACAATATTTCAATGTTCGTCGAAACTTGAAAATTTCCATATTTATTTCATGGAAATACGTTATAATTGACATTATATTGATATAACTACACAAATAATAATATTTCGACCTTTGTTCAATGAAATTGTACAGAAAAATGACATTCCATCTCTTATAAAATATAGTCGAGTCCCATGTTTTTTGTTCAGCTGTTCAACGACATGGCAAGTGTGTCTACACTCTTTAAAGAAATGACATGTTCGAGACACTATAAAGTTGACCAAGCCGAACAACGTGCAGTTCGCTAGGTGCTGAACGACAAATTGAGCTCGGGGTTCAGCTACAACGTTTGGGCCAAAACCACGAAATATTTCTGAACGAAAATGAACTGATTATGGTATTTTCTCAATTTCAATTCTCTCTCTTTTGATGTTGAATTGATATGAGGCAACAGTATCTACGCAGGTGAAGTCCCAGACTAACGGTTTGCCTTGACCCCATAGAATATGAGACATTCCGTCAGTTACCTTTCCATCATCTCGACTAGAAGAATAACCTTCCCTGTGATGATGACTCCACAACGACATTTATGGCTGATACATAAAGAACATCCTAACGGACACCTATTGATATTCTGAAAGAGTCATCATCCAACAAAGTTTCTATGAATGCAACAGGAAGCGCGTTGAGCCAAGCTCCGGAATCTACTTGTACTCACTGCCTTGAGACGAGCCTTTTCAATGGACGAGTTCAGCAATTCATTGCCAACCTTGAAAATAGCTAAAAACGACTACCACTGAAAACAGATTATTTTCATGAAATTTCGATACCATTTTTGTCCTTATCGATTTTTGTATCATCCAGGAAGTCCCTGGCGTCCGAATCTCTGGAAATTATAAAAAAAATTATATCAAGTGATTTTGAGGTTATTTCAGTTATCATATTGGCTGCCTGCAAGATGAATGACACATTTTTGTTTTGTTCTGTGGCACCTGTGACCGTTTTTAGGTTAATTCAAAACAAAACTATTTAAAAGAAATAGAAAAAGCATTCATCAAGAATTCAAGTATTTTCATAATTTTCATTTGATGTAGTTTATCTATGAGTCAGGCATCAAAGACATTCAAGAAGTACCTGTGTACCCGTGTAAATATTATGTTGGGCCCCTATTAGAGAAGACAGGAAGGATCATCATGAAAATAACCAAATTTGCATAATTATCCGCATACCTCTTTTTCCAAAATGTACCTACTAGAAAGGTATGATACTTCATTACTTCAGTAGTAGATTTTCCTTGTTGATGTCTTGTTTTCTAGGTTTGTTAATCTGTGACTGTACTGTGCTGAGTGTTATAAGGTTATAAGAGTAGGGGTATTTAGTATTTGTTCCTTCAAAATGACGAGATGTTCATATGGAGATTGTAAAAGTGATTCCAGAAAGAATAAGAAAAGGAAGTTTATTCCATTTCCTAAAAAAAGGGAAGATCTGATGCCTGAAATGGATAGAGCTCTGTGGTAATAAGAAGCTGACTCCAGGTACCATTACAAAAAATACTTATGTTTGTAATAAGCACTTCATTGGATCCATCACTAAACGTTCAAATCCCATTTCTTATTCAGCACCTCTAGATTCCCCAACAGAAGATAATCTAACACATGAACATTCTTATTGCCAATCCTCATATCCTGATTCAGCCCGTCCACATTTACCTGAAACAGAAGTTCAAATGGACTGTGACGAAAATTCCCAGCTAGTAGATTCTTCAGATGAGGAATATTCAAATCATGATCCATCAGAAGAGGAAGAACTACTCTGTGAAAAGTCTACTCAAACCAGTCCTGACCCTAGCAAAGAAAACAGATTTTCCTTTGAAAACTTATCAAAGCATGAGAAACATTTCAAATTCTTCACAGGATTAAAAATTTTGCAATTTGAAGCATTATATGAATTTTTAGATCCAGAAGTCATGAATAATTTGAAATACCCCTTTAAAAAATATGAGAGGAGTGGTGTTAAAAAATGGTTAAGAGAACAAAACATGTCAAATAAAGATAAATTGTGTATAACATTAGTGATATTGAGACGTGGCTTCACCCTAGATGAACTATCATTTTTTTCCAATAAGTCTAAAACTTTGATATCTGTGATATTTTATACCTGGATTCAGTTTATGTATCACCAGGTTATAGACATAATTGGAGACATGTTTCGAGGTAGCAGAAATCTTAAAAAGGTGCCATATTGTTTCAGACACTTTGAAAATCAGGTTACTGTGGTGATTGATGGAACTGAAGTATTTTTACAAATGCCATCAAATTTCAAGCAACAAGGCAACACATTTTCCAGCTATAAACATTCCAACACTGTGAAATTTTTAGTTGGAATAAGTCAAAGTGCTGCTATTATAGAGGGTGTCCGCTAAAAGGAGGTCAATCCATTAACCATATATTCCTTGAACAAAAATAATATGAGTTTCTAAATACCATTTTTCATTTCAGCCCTTCTTATTCGATATACAGGGTGTCAAAGTTGAAAATTAAAAACAGTTTTTTTCTAATTACTCGCGTAATTAAT